TCACCTAAGGAACTGAAACATGCACGAGGAACACAAAACAAAATACGTGAACAAGGGCTGGATTAAGACCTTCAGAGGCCTTAAGTACATAAAAGATTTTGGTGTCCCCACATATTTTTGCGCCAATTTTTTTTATTCCATCTCTCTCTCGCTCTCTATTTTAGTTTAGCGGCACCGACAATGATAAATTCTTTGATGCCTCCTTTCCTGAATACCTAAACATTTTATTGAACTGCTCCTTTTCGTCGATGCCCTTAAGCACATGCTTATATTGCTTAGCGGTTGATCCAGCCCTGACGTGAACGAACTCCAATTCATGTATCAGGTTCAATATTCCTTCTAACCTTCTTCGGGAACATACAAGGACCTGACTAGGAACAGAGAGCTTACTAAAGCTATGTTCACTAATTTGTAGTAAGTAGACAGGATACAGACGAAGGATATACAAAAACCCTTTATTTTTTCTCTATATACAATAACTTCCGTACTTCGGAAACAATGACCCGCCACTCGGGGTCTAACGTAAAGGTATAAAAATAAAACTAAACTCTAATTTAACTCTAGAACAATACACGTGGAAGATTGGCCTTATAATAACAGGAAGCGTATGTAGCACAGAGACTGTGAACACTACAATACGTTTAATTTATCAAGAGGATTAAAACCTCTGGCCTGGAAGGCAAACAGCAACTGCGTAACTTCTAAGGTAAGCGGCCTGCGTTGACTTACTGCTTCCTCCCCTTCGCTTGGCAAAAGGCCACACTTAAATACTTGGCGTTCGCCAGACAAACTTTGCATAAAATCCTTCACGCTTATAATTCTGGCCGGAAGTAGAAAATAAGAAGTGATAGTAAAGATTTAAAATAAAATAAACGTTAGTAAAACTTAAGATCCTTACATACTTCCCGCCAGAGTTAATTAGTTTGAAACTGAGGTCTAAAACGACCTAGTTGAAGACTTTTAGCTCTAGAATCTAACGCGAGGCCAATCTTTTACAAACATTTTTCGCTAGAAACTAGAAATTTAAAAGAAAGAAATTTGTTTTTACAATAGCAGCTCCCAGGACACACAATGTGTTTTCATCTGTACTGCATCTAAACAGGAGCTTTTATTCAATTCTGGTTCCTTCCAGAGATCTGGAAGGAAAACTAGTTTAATGAAATGTTACACAATGACATGGCAAGTAACATATACAATTATACTGCTCTTAACATTCTTATTTCATTCATGACTATTTTAATTATCTCTCCCCGTGCTCTCTGACATGTGTTGTAAAAGAACACCAAACACGAATGTGTTTCTGTCTACGTGTGCCACACTTCCTCCTACAATCAAAACACTAACGTGTTAAAATTCAACATAACGAGACCTCTTAACACACCCTAATTTCAACTCTAAAACCCTGAGGTACTATTCTAAAAGTGGCTAACTCTAAAGTGTAGCGTCAGAGAGCCTAACTACATCATTCAACCTTTAACACATATTCGCCATGATTTAGTCTTTTACAGTCACACGAAAAATTTTTAACATTACTTTCACTTTTACCATATCACGGTATTTCTTAACATTTAAAATAACAGAAACATATCAACATGCCGTTAATTTTACAGATTTGAAAACATACATTAGTAGTACATTGTTAACTTCTATTCTTTTCAAAGCAAGTGCCAATTCTTTCTACATTGAAATAATACATTTCAAAAAAGTCTTTCAGACTAAAACTTCTCTCTTGCTAGAATGTTTTAAATAAAATTTATACAATAACTTTTTACAATATTTAAGTTTTTACACAAACGCTATTATACATCAACTTTAGTTTTACGCGCGAGTAATTGAAAAACATAATACGAAAATCGGTCACAACTCATTTCTCGCCCTTTTGGCGATAAAGGTAGACCTCGCATGAGGTAAAACTTCTTGAAATCTGCCACTTGCAGTAAGAATGAAAGATTAACTTAAGTTTGCAAAGTAACATAAAATTTTACTTATCTTTGTAATATTCGGACATCCTTTTCTGGGCCCAGTCTTTAAAGGTACTGCAGATAGTAGTTTGGTTTGTCCTCCTTCTTGTACGGGCTCGCCCTTCAGTGCTTTCCTCTGGAAGCTTCCTTTTTTCACCAGTACGGCCACCCTTGAATACTTTCCTTTTCTCCTCTGCTTGGGGTCTTGGCCGTTTGATGGCAGCTGGTCTTGGCGGAACGGGAAATTCTTCCGTGTTCTTGCTTGGACCTCGTTGCTGGCCGTTCAAACTTTCCTTGTACTTTTTCCTCCGCCGCTGATGGCCCTTTCCGCAGTTCGGCGACTTTGCTGCGGAGAGTTCTGTCGGATGAGTAGATCTTCCGTTTTAAAGCCGGGTTATAGTTGCCGTCATTTCTCCTGGTCCTCTTCACATACGTCGTCCTTCTCCCTTCTTCATTCTGGGGGTGTTCGTGAACTCTGTTTTCTGGACGGTGGAACGGCTTCTTTTTCTTGTTACCTTCCATTTTTCCGCGGGGCAATTTTCTTTTCACTTGCTTCTGTCTCTCATTGGCTTGCCCTTGTACTTGTCGTTTTTCCACCTCTGTAGCTTGTGCCTGCGGTGTCTGCCGTGCCGGATCCTGCAAAAGATCACTTGTCGGATTCTATCTTGCTCGTCATTAGGTAGGTGGTCAAGATTTACCATCGGTGGTTCAGCCTTTTCAGTACGAACTGGTCTCATTGTCAGCTTAAGGGACGCTTCATTAAAATCCAGTGTTGCTTGTCCGTCTACGCACTTACATTTTTCTCCTTGCGCCGCTAACACTGTTGTATTATCCGCATTATATATGCGGTATTTGCGAAAATACTTCCTAAAAAACTGTTCTGCCACACAGGAACACTGCGCGCCGGTATCCAGGAGTGCGGTGGCTGGGATATTATTCACCAAGACTTCAATCTTCGGAAGAGTCAAATTTTTCACCATTACTGTATTTAACTTGTGGGAAGAGGGATTTTCGTGGCCTTCGGATTTCCGCACCCTCTCGTCAGCAGAAATCCGTTTTAGTTTAAATTATTTTTCCTTTCCGTGCTTTCCTTCTTTTTCCACTGGCCTTGATACTTTTTTCCTGGGTTGCTATTGAACTGTCGACGTTCGCCGGCTGTTTTTGAATGCTCGGGTTTCCTTGCCCACTGATTCGCTTTTTCTCCGTAGCCGTATGCTTGAGTTTGCTGTAGTCTTGGCGTACCAAATTGGTTTCCCTGTTGATATTGGCGTCTTCTTTCGACGTCCGCCGTTCTTCTACTTTCAAACTGGATTGCTAGCTCAAATAACTTTTCCAGTGTAGTCGGATTTCTTAATTAATTAAAGTCTTGCACTTGGGGTAGTAACCTCGGCAAAATCACTTGAATTATTTCAGGATCCGGACGGTTTCCATACAAGAGCTTGAAAACGTGAATTTTTCTTAAAATAAAGCTCGAGAGGTTTCGATTCTTGTTGATATATACTGAAAAGTTCCGTTTCTAATTTCGCACGATCCCTTACAACAGGGAAGGCTTTTAGTAGGGCAGTCTTGAAATTTTCGTAAGTATAGGTGGGACTTCCTGCTTGACCCAAGAGACTTCTGCCTATACATTTGAACCAGTTAAGCGCTTGGCCCCTCAAAGCGCTGGTAGCTAAGGTAACTTTTTGAAAACTCGTGCACGGGGTATTAGAGCATGAAGTGGTCATCCAATTTTTCCAAAAAAACTGGTTACCGGTGAGTTTCCATTAAATGTTGCTTCTGGTTTCATCGAAGCGCGCATGGTCTGGACGATGTAACCAAATCCTTCCAGGGCGGCAGCTGGCATTTCTAGATTCTGAGCCGTTTCTGCAGGCAGACCAGGTTCTTCTTGAAACTCGGCCATGGTTATTCTTCTTCGTTGGGCGCCACTATCAGGTTCAATATTCCTTCTAACCTTCTTCGGGAACATACAAGGACCTGACTAGGAACAGAGAGCTTACTAAAGCTATGTTCACTAATTTGTAGTAAGTAGACAGGATACAGACGAAGGGTATACAAAACCCTTTATTTTTTCTCTATATACAATAACTTCCGTACTTCGGAATACAATGACCCGCCACTCGGGGTCTAACGTAAAGGTATAAAAATAAAACTAAACTCTAATTTAACTTTAGAATAATACACGTGGAAGATTGGCCTTATAATAACAGGAAGCGTATGTAGCACAGAGACTGTGAACACTACAATACGTTTAATTTATCAAGAGGATTAAAACCTCTGGCCTGGAAGGCAAACAGCAACTGCGTAACTTCTAAGGTAAGCGGCCTGCGTTGACTTACTGCTTCCTCTCCCTTCGCTTGGCAAAAAGGCCACACTTAAATACTTGGCGTTCGCCAGACAAACTTTGCATAAAATCCTTCACGCTTATAATTCTGGCCGGAAGTAGAAAATAAGAAGTGATAGTAAAGATTTAAAATAAAATAAACGTTAGTAAAACTTAAGATCCTTACACATGTAGTCTTTGACCAAATATTCGAAAGAAAACTTTAATGGATTAACTTTTTCAAACTTAAATGTCATTGATATACGAAATTAAGCTTTAAATGTCATTGATATACGGAATACACATCTTAAATATATTTTACTATAAATGATTTGGTTTGGCTTATTGAGATTATGGCAAAGCATACTAGGGCTATATGCCTAAGGGGAGGGATGCCTTCTTGGAGGAATTTCTAAGGGAAATTGGCTCGTATACACGTTACACATGGGGAAAACCACGAAAACGCCCATGCAGCCATCCCGTTCGCGGGATTCGAACCTCGGACCGAACTACCAGTGTTCAGCGACTTTATTGCTCGGCCGCTGGTGGGCTTTTTACTATAAATGATATTTCTAGTCATGTTTTCCATTGCTGTTTATAATGTAAATATTTTAAGTTAGAAATATGCACTAGTGTGAGACAAGCGACTTCGATTATGAGTCAGTTTGACTGATGATACTGTTACTGATTATGCCTTAATTTTTTTTTCTTGCTACTAGATGAAGACGCAGCTGCATGTTCCTCTCCGGAAGACTTCAAGTGCGATAATTCACATTGCATATGGGCTGGTGTAACCTGCGATGGTATCAACAACTGTGGAGATGCCAGCGATGAGAACTCAACGGAGCATCCACATTGTCGTATGTACAACCAGATTTACAAGAACTTCTTTTTTAAATTAGGTAAACACATGCAAAGGACTTCCACATTACGTCAATGACGAACAGTTTGAATTCTTTATTAAAAGTTAATCGTAAACTCGAGGAAATGTGGCCGACTTATACTCGCCATTCCATTTGCAGAAAGCATCAAAAACAATGATTTGAATTTCCGAGATAAAAGTAACCATTTCTTTTAAATTTAGAGGGTCTGATCACGAATAAGACAAAGGAAATTCGTTAAACGGATTATGGCTTCCAGTAAGCTACATTAATTTATTGTATTTTCAAGATCTATGTAAATAACACACATACAAATGAAAGTTCGCTTATCTTAAGTCCATCATTTGCCTTTTTGCACTTTGTAACTATGTTACACTTACTCTTGCGAGTGTACAACAATAGCCAGACAATATAAAACGGAACATTTTCTTGGATATATTTTCAATCAATAAATCTTCTTAGTGGCTTAATGAAATGTATTTTCTCACTCCTTTCCGCACGCCTTCGCAGTATAACGGTAGAACACTCGGCTCATGATCGAGAGGTCTAGGTTCAAGTCCTGGCGAGGGGATTGCACGTTTTTCGTGTCTCCCCTCTTCAAAATAACCTAATGATTCTAGATGGTTTAACGCTTTCATCACTTACTATACCACAGATGTCTGGCAAGAAATCAGAAATCCAAGAATCAAATAGTTGGATTTTTAAGGAAAAATTGCAGCTAAGATTGTGAAACAGTGAAGTTTAATAACCATTCTGTAACTTTTCTTCCTGTCATGACTGAAGAGGCTAGCCGACCCTAGACGTCACGTGTCTCCCTCTCCCTCCCTGATGCAAATCTCGTCTCTGAAAAATAAAAAGAACTGCTGTTTTAATGCTGGCTTCTCTGAGTGAAGGAAATTTTTCAGCAAGAACGCTGATTCATTCTATATTGTAGTTTTTTCGATGTTCTTTTTGTGGTCTGGCAGAAGATAGGTAGGTAGTAGAAGTGAGAACAGTACCAGAGACTTCAGCATGGTACAAGTAACGCTCCAACACGCTAACCATCTTTAGAATTAACCCTACCATTGGCCATTAGTACACTGTTGAATTCATGGGCTGTTGTTGGGGATGGGACTCATTTAATGTCAATATCACAGTTGGGTATTTCATATACGATGTGTTCCGTAGTACATATTCATCTGGGCACATTCATGATTTGTTGAATCGTACAGCTTTTTATATTGTTCAGTACACTGTGGATGCTGATTATATTCGGCATTTCTTGCGTTATTCTGCTTGGCAAATTTCAATCCCGTAATGGCTCAGTTTTTCCATAATTTTTTTTAGTTTCGGCAGGATAAATCGCTGTTTTATTAATAGATAGTCTGACAATGTTAGATACTGAATACTCTTTTTCGGCCTTAGAATATGTTTTCAGAAGCCAGCCCTTCTTCAAGTATTGCAACGTCTTTTAATCTGCTGTCTCAGTAAATTAAGAAAAGGCATTGCCTCATATATCTAAATAGAGGTCCACAATAAAGATACTAGCTCAGCAGCATCCATAAAATAACAGCCCTATTTGCGTTTTTCATGCCTCTCCAACATTTGCATTTAAATTGAGGATCTGAAAGTAAGTTCCGGTGAATCAATATACAGCCGCCAATTTTACGAACTATGTGTGATCCCAAGGACAGTATGCCATCTATACTGCAGCAGACTAAAAGTCATCTTCTCTTTAGAAGAAATTGCTCGAACTGCTGCTGATAAGGAGTGCGAAACACAATTGAATATTCTTCCGATTCTAATACTGAAATCTTGATGTCGATAATTCAGTTTTACTCTTGGGTTTGGTTTGGTTTGTTTGAGTGTGGGAAAGCATGAAAGAGCTATCTGCCTAAGTGGAGTGATGCTTTCGTGGAGGGCTTTTTAAGGTTTGCTCTTAGTAAATCTAGATCGCAAATGAGATTATTAAATTCTTCCTACATGATTTTTTTGTGATGCAGATTACTTATCACTACAGAAATAAGCTTCTTCCATAACTCCATAATATTAAGACCCTCACATTTCAGTAGGAACCAAGGTCCGTTAGTATCTGTCATCTGAATTCGAGAAATTTCCTATAGACGGAGAAAGAAAAAAATCGTCGCTGTATAGAAATGGTAGAAGATATAGTGCATTCGACTAAACTACATTGGTTTCCAAAAAATAAGGAAAAATCATAAAAATAGCGATAATTCGTCCAAACATGAGCCAATCCGCATAAAATTTGAATATGTTATCAAATAAGAGTTGTAGCGTAAAACTGCAATATGCAAATTAGTGGCGCTGCAATCGGAATGTGCCATCTGCGAGGAGCATAAAATTGCATGTTTGAGAGAAAGCCTGTAAATTTCTCTGTGATATTGATATAAGAAATCTGAGATAGCCAATTCATAATAATGACCACCAGGCATCATTTGCCCGAAGAACATCTATGGAGATCTACCTGGGAGACTAGAGGCAGAACAAAGTCAGACAGAAGTAGCCATATGGCTAAATGTGAGTCCTTATGTAGTTCACAGATTTGGGCAATAATTTCTAACCACAGATTTGGCATCCAACAGGTTCAGCCAAGGACGGCAAACCACTACTACGAGCCCCGATGACCAATATTTGTTGTTATGCTCAGGAAGGAATATAACCGCATCCCGACTCAACTCAAATCTTCCCTTGCTGCAGCCATCAGATGATTGGTATCAACGTCAACTGTGCCTAGAAAGCTTCACGAAGGAGATCTGCATGCGAGGAGACTAGCCATTTGCGTGCCGCTCATGTCACATCATGGAAGGGAACGTTTGAGTTGGGCACGTCAACCTGCCCACTGGACGGCTGAGCAGCGGAGAGTTTTTCTCATCAGTGATGCGTCTTTGGAAGAAATGGATAGAGAAGAATCAAACAAGGCAAAATCCTGGCAGTGGGGCAAGCAATAGCACAACGGCATAGACACCTCATCCGCATGGCTGTGACAGATCGTACAGAGTCCTCTCATGTATCAGCACAATGTTGGAATACAGCTACAGGTGTTGTGTTGTCTAGCTACACGGGTCGTCGCCGTCTGTTGCTTGCATGAACTGCTTGCAAGAGTTCCTTAACGCAGGATTGCCCTATCGCTGAATCACAGACTCCTCTGACTTCAATGAGCACTTTCAACACAGTGCGCGGTGTGCCCTGTGGCAACAAATTGTTTTATCCAATGAATCTCGTTATAATCTAGAGTACAATCATGGAAGAGTACGTGTCAGACGTTACAGACGGGAACGTCTGCTCCCACAGTGTGTTATCCAGCGTCATACCGCACAAACGCCTGATATCATGATGTGGCGAGCTATTGGGTATAACTGTCGATGCCATTTAATGCAGATTGCAGGCAACCTCAACAGTGATGATCACTACATAGTGGACGTCGTGGAGCCAGAGATCCTTCTCATTCTTCGACGCATTCCGGACGCACTATTTCAGCAGGATAATGCCCATGCACATGTTTCTCAGACTGCACAAGCCTTATTTAAGGCACAACAGGTTTCGCTTCTTCCATGGCCTACTTATTACCAGGATATGTCGCCCATTGATCATGTCTGGGATTTCATAGGTCGGCGACTCGCTTATACAGCTGGTGGGGCACACACTAAGATTGAACTTTGGCGTCAAGTATGGAATTCTATTTGCCATGATTACTTTCAGAACCGGTATGATTCAGTACTATGGCGCGTACAGGCTCTCATCGCTCAGCGTGGCTGACGCACAAAAATACTAATTTCTGACGTTCTTTTTTTTTGGGGGGGAGGGGAAATTTAATGGTTTCTTTGTAACTCTATCAGTGATATGTGGAATAATTTTCATTCATTTCCAACAATTCCTTCATGGTGTTGCATTTTCCACAAACATTAGTGGAAAAATGCGTTATCTGGACTCAGACTCCCTACCATTCCCCTTTTTCCCGTGCGTCTTAAAAATAATCTATTCTCTAGGTTACTAATAGTTTTGAAAATAGGTGAATTACAGAAACTTATCTTAAAGCATTGCGATCTTCTCCAGATATAATCAAGCAGCAAGTAAAGGAAGGTGTCATAAGCATATCTAACGAAAATTAGTTTAAGTAGCATCAGATTTTACGATCAGAATTTCATGTTTGAAATATATATGAGAAATTTGAAATAAAGTACTTTGTAAGAAAGAAACAATACATGATTTGGCAAATGCATTATTGATGGTGTACGTTTTGTCAACTCGAGGCAAACCAGTATCATTCAGATGCGCCGCGATGGCTTAATGTGAGATTTTCTGCTGCCCAAGTATTCCGAAATAAATTCTTTGCACGGATTCCTCCCTCCGAAAGTTCAATAACACAAGGCTTTCTTCAACCCTTGTGAAAAACTAATATCTGTGATTAACTTCAAAATGACTGTGAAGTACTGAAAATTGGCTTTTCCTGAGTATGTAAGATTTTGGTAAATGTAATCTCTATTTTAAATAATTTATGTATCCTTCAGGTCACATAAAAGCAAACTAAGATACTGAATTCGACACTCAGTCATGTTTCATAGCTTAAAGACTTATGAAATTTCGTACTCTTCCTAGATGAATGCAAATAATAGAGCGCATTATCAGAAGTTATTTGGAATGGAGAGGCATGAAAGGAACCATACATTCGTAATCATCTCATGTGTTTTTATGTATGCTTTTATGCAGGTACCATAGGAAACAATTTCATATTAGAAGACTATACGTCCTATTATCTGTATATCTAGGGTATAGACTATACGTCCTATTATCTATATATCTAGGGTATAGACTATACGTCGTATAGTCTATACCCGACTATACGACTATACGTGTCCATATTAATCTGGAGAGGAAGAACGATAACAGACTGCTGGGTGCAAGGACTGACCAACTCAGTTTCTAATCATAAAATTGCCTTCTGCACGTGTGATGCGTTCAAATTAAATATTTTCTGTTCTCACACTGTCAGCTAATACAAGCAGATAGCTTAGGCTATTTTA